ACTTTATTTTATATAGCGCCTTTAAATGTTGCTTCTCAACGCTTTACAGGATGACAACAACAATAAATAAAAAGAATACACAAGATAAAACACAAGCAGAGGGGTGAAGAATGGAACCAGTTAAGTAAAGGCTTTCTTTAGAAGAGGGTTTTGAGTTTGTATTTGAAGGAGTTCAGAGAAGGTGACTGATATCCTTGGGGAGAGAGTTCCACATCTTGGGAGCATAACAGGAGAAATGGAAGAGCCAAAACTTCCCAAACCTTGAAAGTAAGATAAAAATACTCAGTCTGGTAGACCTTTTTAGATTTTTTATGCATTCTGTCCTTGCTTTCAAAAATCCTTGAGTTAAAGTATATTATTTTCAGAATTTAGTATACACAATGTTACCATATGTAGTCTCCTCTCATCTCATTATGAATTTGCTCCCATATTTAATAGTATTAGGCAATCAAATTAGTACCACAAGACACAGGTGGGAAAAGGTATCAAAATACCCCACATTGAGAATGTTCTATCTTGTTTCATCAAGAGCACAAGAACTGCACAGAGCCAAAGGTCTCCATTCATAGCAGTACTGCTGCATGTAGGTTAGCCAAGAATACCCCAGTTTGTCTTAGTGGTTGGTCAAAATTGGTAATCCAAGATCTAGTACTCAAAAGACAGTCTCTTATACTTTGCTTAAAATGTGGGGTGAAGAGAAAGTTAGAAGACTATAAAAGGTATATAAAACATCAAAAGCTATTAGCTTGATTTTCCTGCAAGCTGAATTACCATGTTTCCCAATTACTCTAGAGCAGGGATGCTGGATTGAAGCTCTCCAGGACCTGGGCTGGAGATCCCTGCTCTAGAGCGTGGATGGGCAACTCGAGATCTTTAATAACAAAAGGATCCCCCTATTTACACTTTACTTTAATTACTTTATTAGATAATAAGTTGGCAGTTGGTCAATTACTTGAAAACTGCTTGCAAAAGACTTAGGCCCTCAAGGACTACAACTGTCTATCCCTAATTTGGCTTTTGATGCCCAAACCATGTCCAGAAATGTGAAGATTAAAATTCCCCAAATTGGTGTTAATCAAGCAAAGCAAAGTATCTTGATAATTCAGCAGTTATTTTTAAACTTACAGTGATTTATAACTTTATGAACTATGAAATCTATTATAATACAAATTATTACACCTGAAGAAGGCTCCACGGCCAACATGTTGTGTTTTCTTTCTTCTCTTTTCAGCATGGAATAAACCTATTACTTATTATTATTACTATTATTAACATTCAGTTAGAGGTAGGGGGAAATGAACCCAAGTTTATCCAAGTAAAGTTTTGTGATAAAATCTCTCAAGCTGTATGAATCTAACATTTAAAATGTTCTTATAACTTGCCAGTTATTTTTACAGGTTTGAGATCAAATTTTTAATCATTCAGACCATTGCAATGATGTCTTGTACTAGCGCAGAAGAAGTACTGTATAGATTACAAGCACGCTTCCTCTTAAACATACAATGTCACACCACCGGATTCATTTTGTACTGCAATATCCACTGGAATTGGAATTCCGCATCTTCCTGATAACACAGTGAAATCACCCAGCTAACCAAGACTGCCACTATCAAGCAGCAGGATAGGATAACTAGCATGCAGATATACAACCAGACCGAGCAGAACTCAGCCAAAAGTGAATTTGATATTGGCTAATGATAAACCTTAGATTAAGCTCAGCTATTATCATGTCCTAGGGCAGAGATATTCACTCCTGGTCATAGTAAACTATAGGTAATGTATAAATATGTGAGCACAGACCAGGAAATAGCAATATATATAGACCAATTAAGTGGGTAATTCAAATACAGACACTGGGGTGGAATGAAAACAAGAAGACACAGTAGCCTTGCCAGGACCAAGCTACAGTAGATGGACTGAATAGCCTTCTGTCATTTGTAACCATTCTTACGACTGGGAATGAATACCAGTGCCCTAGAATTAATTTTTGCTCTAAGAAGGTGAGCATGAGCCTTTGAAAAAGAAGAAAAGATATCATACTGATATCCCAGGTTATTTGCATCATCTAGTTGCAAAACAGCAAGATGTATGCGGTGCATTACTGTAGAATTTAAATAATTTGGAATTACAGCATTGTGCTTTCCCTTATAGAAGAAGGATGCAGCTTGGTGATTTACAACATTAAAAAAAGCAATAGCCCAAATTTAATGTATTATTTTAAATTAAAGCACAGAAACAATGGCAAAATACATCTAGGCAGAGGTAGATCAAGACACAAAACATGGAGATCTGTATGTCATTTTTTTGTTTTATTCAGTAGTTCAGTGTTGTTTTTTCATCTTTTCCTTTGCGCCACAGGCAAGTTAGGAGATTACAGTCAAATTGTTAAAACACCTGATATAGAATTTAAGAACACAGATTACCCAGATTTCATGAGCCAATTCTGACCAAAAAAAAGATACATTTTTTAGAAAAACAATGAAAACAGAAAACTGTTTTGTTATCCTGTGGTTGCCATGAATCTGGGGTCCTCTAGGGCTGCAGGCTGCTTTCTTTCTACTTGAGCACTCAACCCTTCTAGAAGTTACAATTACTGTACTGGATGACAATTTCACATTTCAAACCAGGTGACAAGCACGTGACAGTTGTAAAAAGACCAGTAGAAACACAGGACTGCAACCCTAGAAGACCACAGCTGGGGATAGAACCGCTATTTGGCCTGATTTCTGGGAGGGGTTTAGAATGACACAAGATGGACACATTAAACCAGTTGCTCTCACCCTTGGTCCTGAAGGACTCCTGTCTCTTTGAATTTTTATTCTAGCTGAGCTTGGATAAAAATTCAACTTGGGTTGGGGTTATTAATTGGTATGAATTGTGAAAACGTCTGGGTTTCATACCTGCAGTGGCTTAAGGTTAGGTAGAAGATTTTGATATTTGTATTCCTACTGTGTCAAGACATTCTTAATAGGTGAACTATTGAGACCCTTTAGAAGAAAAAAACATTAGGCAATCTGAGGAGTGAATGGATTTTGGCTGAACATCCTTGCAACAGCACTCAAAAAGAGTACTGCTGAAACTAAACATTTTGTGCAGAGTGAAAAGGTCAAATTAAGCAAGGGGCTCAATAAAGTGCTTAACTAGCTTCTGATTACAAACTCAACTGGACTGGACCAGGGCTGAGAACCTACTGTGTGCTAAAATATGGTACACTGGACCAGGATTAGGAGAATCTAACACCTGCTCGTTCTCACTGCAGCTGAGGTCTTTATGTCAATTAACCCTGAATTGCTTTGGTTTGGATAGAGCCTTTGCAAGTTTTGTTTCTGTTTAAAGATTGGAGTTCTCTGGAGTTACTTATGAAACATAATAGTTATAAGGCAACCTCCCTTGTTTAGGTAATGTTCAGTACAGTTTAGGCTTATTAACAGTTCAAATTATTTATTTGGGCACGCAGTTGGAACAAAAACCAGCAGGTGTGGGTTCCCAGTGCCAGGATTGGAAACCCTTGTGCTAAATCATGGCATTCTAATCCAGGTCTTCCTGAGCCCAGTGTTGGCAGGTGTTCATTACATCTGAGTTCTTCATGACTTGAGTCTTTTATTTAAACGGATAGGAATTCAACACATAACATTTCAACTACGTAGCTCCTGAACAGCTAGAGATTTCAGTTTAACTACTTTTGCGTCTGCAAGGTTTTAGCATGTTTCATCAAATTATGAGTTCAATTAAATCTCTTAATTAAACAAGAACTCGGGAAGATCAGAAACCAGGAGGCTCTGGGATCATGAGGACCAGGATTAGCAAGATTGGGCTTTAAAATGAAGATGAACTGTAAGAATTTGCATTTATTAAAACGCCCTGTAGTGCAGGCCCATCCAACTCTGCTCTTGCAGAGCCAGTGTCTACAGGGTTTAATTGCAAGTTATCTCTGAGCAAGCTAAATCAGCTACATTTGATCTTTACTGAAATAATGTAACACCATCTCAAAGTTCAAGTGTGGGAAACCTACAAACACACCCTGCAGACCAGGATTGGACAGCCGTGTTCTAGGGAAAAAAATATTTACCGGTCAGAGCGGCTTCTAGAATGATTTACCTTCACATTTTATAAACAAAACATTTTTTTTTTTACATTTTAAAGCACATTTGTAATGGTCTTATGACACACAGGAAAATCAATGCACAGATAGTTTCCCTGTCACTCATTCAACTCTTCCAGGTTTACTGGATCCACATGACCATTCCATTCAGCTATTTGTATAGACTAGATCTAATCTATGAGCCCACCTGTCAAATTTTATACATAGTAGTTGAGTGTTGATTTATTTGTGCCACAGCTAGTGCAAAGACACCAGTCATCATGTGTTAATTTGCAATTAAAGGGCAAATTAAAAAGTCAAACTTTTTAGTTTAGTTTTTCATTATCCCAAGGCCATGGTAGAAGACCCAGGACCATTGAGAGTCTGTCTAGTGGCATGGCTTCAGCTAATTCCAATGCAGCATTGAGAAAAGGGTTTTTCCCCACTGGACTGTGGACCAGCCACAGGTCCGGCGTTTTTCAGACATAGATGTGATTCGCTTCAAGGGTGAGGGTGAGGGCAATGGGGGCTGGATTGTAGGTGAGGAGTGGCAGGTGTTGGGGAAAGAGGAAAGTTGCAGCCCCTCCCATCAAAAAATCAGATTCAAACAGCTTGTACCCAGATTTTACTCCTGTTTATTTCCTAATTTAATCATATCCTGGCACGCTGTGCACTTCTCACAGTCTGGAGATTGGCAAACCTCACACACCCAGCCCCGCAGGAGTGCCCAATTCTGAACCCTGATGGCTACATCCAAATAGGGTTTCCTGACCTCTTTAAATCATGAATTCCTTCAGACCTTAAAAATGACAACATTAGGATTATTTAATTTCACAATTTCCCTTACTTCATAACCTGCTAATAATTTAAAGGGATCAAGCAAGCCTTGAATTATGGTCCTCAAAATCTGAAGATTGAGACTCCTGTCCTAAACTGCATTGCAGTCATTCTAAGAGGTGCACACATCTGGTGATCAGGGGCTGATGCCTTCACAGAACCAACTGTAAACAGCGTAAAATGTATTGTATTCATTCCCCATTTGAAAGAATGATGTTGTTGCAAGAACATGCCACAATGTTGATCTTATGTGTCCCTAGGAGCTGCTCACTAAGATATGAAGATGCGTTGCACTTCTAGACTGTTAAAATAAAAACGAAAAGAAAACTGCACAGAGTCGAGACACAGCCATTGCCACCAACACGAAACCTTTAGGTTCTAAAATACAGAAAAATGCAGGCTTTTCTGTATTTTTAACGTCACATTGACATCAGGCTAAAGAATCCCTAACAGTCCTGCTCAGTGTAAAATCAGGGGCACTGAGCATATATTCAATCGCTGGCTTCTTTGGACACACTAAAAAGAATTTCACACCACAAGCTGTTCCGACCAGCACACTTACAGTCACAGGGCACAAAGTAGCAAGGTGCTAGGTACAGCAAAAAAACTGGCCCAGCACAGAATACAGACACTGGCACAGAAAAGGAGCGGTCTGCTAAAAATGAAAACAGATGTGCAAAAAAACCCATAACCTGCAACCTTCTGAAAAGTGTGGTTTGTTGCTTTTTTGCATTGCTGACAATTAAGTTAAAATTACTAAAAAGAAGTGTCTTACCCTAGATTAGAGACTTGTTATATGACAATTTGTTTTCGGCTTTCATACCATAATATGGTAGTTGCAATTAAAGGAGCCTTGGAGAAAAAGTGCTGGGGTTTTCAGGATTTAACATTTAATTTCAAATATGTAGCACTGCATATGAACACAAAGAGATGATCTTCAGCTACACCTGAACAAAAAATGAATGCCTCCAACTCCTCATACCCCTTCCCACAAAGGCCATTCAAACTACAGTACTGAGAAAAATATACAAGGATCCCAGAGTGAATGTGCCAATAAGGAGTGTCTAAGCATCATTGATCTGACTTCTGGGGCTCAGATTTGTCAAGTGGCTACTATCTACCACTGGCTGAGGTACATGGGGTACATGGGGTCCTGATTCTGTAAGCTTGTAGCACACGTGGTGAGAATTTCATCAGTCCTCAACTTGATGCTATAGGACTACTGCGAGACTTGCTATATGAAATGGGGATGGCTTGACAGTGCATAGCTTGGTGACTGTGATAAGTGGGCCTAATGCAGAGTCTGTAAAGCATAATATTCTTTCATTCATTCATGCAGTCTCTCCAATGTGCCAAATAAATGGTAACTATCCATACTCCTGCATCCTTCCTGCACAAACTACAGTAGTTAGTACATTGCAGATCATCCAAATGTTTCTTTTACTTTGATTTATTAATGATTTCGGGAACAGGGAGGCACAGTATAAACTTTACAAACAAAGCCAAGATTGAAAAGTTACAACAAATGGTGAAAAAAGTGACCCCCTTCCCAAACCAAATCTGACTGAAAGGTCTGACACTCTTTTCTGAAAATTGCAGCGGTTTGAAAGCTAAAGATGAAAACTGTTAATGGAGTGGAAAAAGTTTTATTTTAATTACAGGAGTTTTATACTGCTATGCCACTAACAGTGTTCACGAGTTTAGACTGTCAACCCTTTAATACTGAAACCATGGATTTTCTACAGTGCTCAACATACAGTATCACTTGGGACAGAACTGGTGGTTAATTTGGTTCAGTAGACCACTGTTTTTGCCTCTAACGGAGGAATAACGGAGTATCCTATATTACCAGACATCTAAAAATCAATTCCATAGCTCACCAATAAGCTTTCCCCCACGGAGTCTGAAAATATTAAAAACAAGAGATTTATAAACCAAACCACATACGTAATGCTACCTCTAAAAAAGCTTCTAGAGCCCCCGCACCTTTACAGTAAGTGATGTCAAATTTTCTCAACATCTAAGAATTATTTTTGCATTCCTACCTCAAAATACCCCCCCCACCACACACACACTTCATTCAAGGCCCAAAGATCCAGTGAACAACAGTGTCTGGGAACAGATTCCAGAAAATAAACTGTGCTCTAAAGTTTTTGACCATCTTAACCTGAAACTGTCTTGGATACTCCAAAGGTGGAGGACACCTCTCCATCCAGATGACCACAGAATAACAAAGCTTGTGACTGAGCTTTTCATATTCGTTTTTAGGGCTCTACTATAACAACAAAAACAACAATAATAATAATACTACATAGAGTCAATCATTAACAGTTCTCAGGACCAATGAGCTTTGACAGTTACTCTTTCACTATTTATCCTAAAAGCAACAGAAAAAAAAAAATCAAAAGATGGTGTACATCTTGCCCTGAACTTTTCAAATTCTAATTGCAACAGACTTTGATAACTGTCCACCATTATCGCACTGTTCGCCCAGCCTGAACTTCCTTACTGAGCAAACCTGATTTTCTATATGAGGGGGATGCTATTGAGCCATAAATTACAACTCAGTTGCTGCAACCTAGCTCTTGGGGGGTTTTCTACGCAGTAGAGAAGGTGACTCCCAACACCTGACTGACTGTAAACCGTTTTAAACCCAAAACTCACTACTGCTACAACTGGTTCATGACAAAAGCTGGCAGTCTGCAGAAAAACATCAATTGAAGGACTCAAGTACAGACTACATGAAATGAGGATGGCTTGAGATGAAACAAGTCCTTTATGAGCAAGAAAAGAAAGGAGGATATGCACAGGACACTGTAAGCATATCTTGGGCCAGTAGTATATTACTTTGGAGTGCAATCTGTGGTAGTGTATACCACACCAGCATAGTTCAAATCTGAAGAAAAAAGTGCCCCTTTTAGAAAAAGTTTATCACAATTACAAAGAAACACAAACACACCCACACATAACATAATGTAGTTCTATGTAAAAATCAAGTATTCAGGATGTACAGTTAATTTTCTTTTTCCATCACTGAAGCATTTGTCATGCCTTAAACAGTAAAAAAAAAACTCTAAACTCCAAAAAATGAAATTACCCATGGCTATATACAGAAGATCGTACATGTGAATGTTTAAGTTAGGTGATCAAATAAGGACAAGCTATAATACTGCTTATACTATATCTGGCCACATCTCTTTGGCAGGCACTGAACAGGCCAGTTCTATTTGTATCAAGAGAACAAAAGAAAAACTAAAATTAGATTCTGCCTAAGATGGGAAAGGATTCACACAATTTGGTAAAAATTTCCAGGCAACAGCCGAGACACAACAGACATTGATCATAATGTAATATGCAGATAAAACTGTCGGGGAAGCCTAGCAAATTGATTTTCGCATGGACTAAATAAACAATTTCAGCCCCGCCAACAATCAGTTTCTAAATATGTTCACACTTTTACACTCAGTAGACCAGAGTGCCAGGGAAACAGGAGGCCACCATGAAGTGACAAATGAAATTTGTGACAGGCTTCTGGGTCAAAGTCCTGATGTAATCTGGGTTCCTCCGGGTTCTGGAGTTAAAAAAATTCACTTCCTCCTTTTAGAAAGCAAACTTTCTAAAACTGGCCTCAATAAATGTAGCATATGCTTTGCTGTGAAATACACCTGAGGGTGCCAAAGAAATGCAAGACTCACTTGATGAATTTCCTCTCCTCAGCTGGGGTCAAAGAAAAAAAGAAAATTGGACTTACCCTATCTTTCCCAAACACACATTTTGGTCTCTCTTTTCGGTTATCTGCTCTGATCTAGCTCTTCCAAAGAGATAAAAATGTTTAAGGGTTTTAAAGAAACTATCACTAATGATTACGGTTACATGAACTACCACTCACTCCCCCACTGTTAAGGGTTATTTCCAAAGCTCTCTGCTCCAGGCTTTTGCTTTGGACGTGTTCTAAAAAGTTGTGATTACAGACAAACCCAGAAAGACTTGCAGTATTGAGATTGATTTTGTTTTCCTACAGGGAAACCCGTTTTCCAAATATTATTCTAGAAGAAAAGCCTCCACAACTTTATTTGTTTGATGTAATTTCCCCATTTTAAAGAAAATTCCTGCCTCCCCCAAATACCAATGTGTAACTTTTCATTGCATAATAAATCACTCCCTGAACACCACAGTGAGTAAAATCTGTTTATGCTATCAAGCTGACTGAGAAGACTGAGGCCGAGCCTAAGTGGTCAGGGATAGATTGTGGATTCAATGAATGTGGTTTGGTCATTCTGATCACCTTTAAACAAAATAATAGAAATGTTCAATCTGAAACATCCCTCTTCTCTGCAATTATTACAAATTATGTGGACTCCCCCTTTCGGTGCTGAGCAAAAGTTTAGCTTTGTTAAAAAATTGTGAGATTTGCATGATTAGATACCCTGTCTCTTCATTGCCTTCAATGTTCATTAACAGTCTCTCAAGTGTTTGCACACATATGTAATGTCCCTTTAATATAAAACAGGCACTCTTTTTTTTCCCCCCATGAAATATAGGTGGCCCACTGATACAAATATCAGCCTTTGGCATAACAAAGCACAGCTATACCAGACACTGCTGTTCTTGGGCATGCTCCATTTTGTGCTTGGTGTGGTGTCACTTGCTATCCTCAGCTCGAGACTGCTCACATTAATAAGGCAGTGCTCTTTCTACATATTTGTATATGTGCTCTATGTAATAACCTGTGACCTTACAACACCAGTTTATCTCAGTGGCTTGATTTTTAGAAATTCAATTCTCTACCCTTCTTTGTTTCATGCCAAAGAAACCAAAAGAAAAGAAAGTGCAGAAGGATTTTTTCTGGGTTGTTAAATAAAACCGGCACACACGTTTGGCAACAGGAGTTGGGCTGGGGGGGGACGTCAACGTGTTACGATCAGAGATGCAAAAATAAATGGAAGAAACAAATAAATATCATAACCCCATTTAAAAAAAACCAACAATAACAACAAGCATACAAGAAGAACTAGTACTAAAATACTAGTAATGAATGGCACAGGAGATGAGGAGGTGCCTCACAGGATTGTGGGTAGGGGCACGCTCCTGTTCCACACAGAACTGGAAGTTACACAAGAAAGAGAAAATGGGCACTTGGACAGATCATTGTTTCTAAGGTTGTTTAAAGTTTTTAATTAAGATTGTTTAAATTGAATACGCAAGTCTGGTTCTGATATTTCCCTTCGGGCTGCAGTGGTGACAGTGGGACAGGGGAACTGGGGGGGGAGGGGGGTATATGGGGACTGGGGTAATGGAGTGGTGCAGCTGGAGAGTTGTCATGTGTGTGATCTGTGGGTCCAGGGGAGGGTGAGAGGTGGGTGGGGGTGAGGGGTGCCATTGTAGTCATTAGTTCAGTTTATCTTGGAATATGTACAGGTTGTTGGTGGTTGCCACGGCGATGATGTTGTCCTGGGGGTGCCAGGCGGTGTGCAGGATCTTCTTGTTAAAGTCCAGGCTGTCCACGCTGATCTCGTCCTTCTTTCGCTTGCCTCCTGCGCACACCTTGCGTGGCTTCAGCACCGAGCGGGGCTTACTGCTCTCCCGCGATGCCTCCAGCGTCACATCCTTCCGCTGGCCACGGTCAAACATTCGGAAAAAGTTGTTGTAGGAGCCAGTCATCACCACGCTGCACAGAGAGAAGAACACGAGAGTATCAGGGGGAGGGCAGGAAGTGGGTGAATTAGGGAAAGAAAGAGGAAGTTTACGAAAATGAACAAAAAGGAGAGAGTGAGTGTGAGAGGACAGCAGGAGTACTAGGGGAAAGGGAGAGATGAGTGTGTGTGAGAAAAAAAAGAAGAAAGTGCAAGAACATGAAGAACAGTTTAAAAGGAGTCAGTGTACAGGACAGAACACAATGACAGCAGAGACACTAAGTTGATATCTATTCTACACCTGTAATGTTGGTTGTGGTGAAATAATACACCATAAAGCAAAATCCTCTCATGCAAAAAAACAGAAAGTCATCAAAAGGCAATCCAATAAGCAAGGAGGACTACCCCATTCAGCTCAACAGTACGGAGGACTGATGTTTGCTCTTCTAAAGCATTGCTATATACAGAGAGACATCTCCCTCCCCAAAGGAGAAAACTGTAAGGGTGAGATAAGGCACCACTATGACTGTGCTTCCTGCCATCCCAGTATGGGTGTCTCAGATATTATACATACACCCCCATGTCCTCACAGAACACAGCCACCCACAACACAGCTTGGCTAAGTAATTACACCAAACCTGAACAGCTGCAACTAATCCAGCAACCAGCAACTTCAGAGACACTGTCACCCTGTCTCCTTATTCTGAAAAATGGTTAATTATATATAAGGGCTGAGGTGTGTATATACAATGCATGTACAGATGTATGCACTTATAAACTTTGCTTAACATTTGTTTTTTGCTTTAGCAGGCAAAACCTTCAGCTCGGCACAAAATGTGCAAGAACTCCTACATGCAAAATGGGCTGAATGGCCTTAAACTTCCTCATGTTCTTATTTTCTGAAAAGATACCATATAAAATAGAGGTTGGGCTTTCATCTTTTTCTGGAAATTAACCTTATCTCAGTACTCCCAGCCAAGGTACAAAATAAATAAAAAGGAACTTAAGATTTGAATCTGGGACTGTTTCTCCAAATACTAAAAAATAAACAAAGCAGAATACTTAGACACCACATTCCCATATTAGACTTCACAGATGGCTCGTTTACCTTGTGGTGTTTAAATATGCTCCTGCTTTTAAAAAGGATTTAAAAATAATAGAGAAAACTGGAGGAGAAACTGTTAAGGTGCAGAGCTGACTGTGCAGCCAGCTCATCACCTGAGGCCTTACCTGTCATTTCCATTCCAGCAGCACTCAAACTTGTCGAAGATGCAGTCGTTCTCATACAGCGAACATAGCTTACTTCTGAGGTATTCGTGGACCTGGGGACACAGGCCGGAGGACAGTTCTTAGAGGACAGCAAAGAAGAAAGGCTCTGGTCGCAGGCTGGGGCGCATTGTCCTGGCCCAAGCAAATTAGCAAAAAGGTACTTAACAAGCTCTTTTGGAAATACATAACTTTATAAAAGGATATAAGATGGACCTAACTGTTTTTCTTATAAGTTCCTGAATGTATTTTTGTGTCTAGAAACAGCACAGAAATTGGGAATTCCATGAAGCCCTGCCATTGTCAGTGTAAAAGTACTTTCTCTGAGACAGTATCGGTTCATGTACAAAGTGAACAGGCTGGGTATTTAAATTTATTTGTTTTCTTTGTGCTCAAGTCCTATCTAGAAGCAGTCTAACTCTGAAGTCTGCTCCAGACATCTCAATTATATAACTGAACTTTAGTTAGAATGGTGTAACAAAAGCTCAGGAGACAATTCGGGGAATGAATATGATGTTTACTACAAAACCTACTGTGAGATTAAAAACCCCAGCAACTCTATCAGCCAATACTTTATCATTTTCCAAAAAATAAATTTGGAAACAAACAGTAAATTATAAACCATTTTTCTGATTTTGATTAATGTAAGTGACTCTATGAAAGTTAGAATTTTGCTTTATATGTGTAAAGCTAAAGCAAGGCAAGTTAGTTACTTCTGAAAATTGCATTATTTTCTCATATCTATGGAAGATAACAGACAAGATACTGTCCGATTCCATAACTTTAGAAAATGCAAAACAGCATACTCGCAACATACAAAATTTTGTTCAAATGTTGAGCGACAATCGTGTGCTTATGGGATAAAATTATTAAAGTGTCGGTGAAAAGTATACTGGGAAACAAAATATATTATTGCATTTTGGATAGGTTTATCTGTAGAATACTTTTCTTATAATTTAATATTGATATTCCATTTTTTCTTTACTTAGCCTCAAAATCCATTTTATATCTGCTTTACAAATGAGGCACCATACCTATTTACTACAGAGATACATTGCATATGGTGCCATTAATTACTGGTGCTTTATGCAACATCTAATTTAAATACAGTTGTGCACTTAAGAGTAATTACAAACAAGAGAAGGCTATCCGGCCTATCCAGCCTGTTTGAAACTTTAGCAGCCAACTGATCCAAGGACCTTACCCAGTCATTTTCTGAAAGAAACCAGGGTGTGGGCTTTACTAGAATGGATGATAAAGTACTCCCTCAACCCTCTGCATAAAGAAGAGTCTCTTGTTCTTGGTTTTACGTTCATTTCCTTGTTATTTCTGCTTGTGTCCTCTGGTTCATGCTTCACAGTTTATTCTTAAGAAGTAAATTGGACTGGCTTTGTCATTGCCGATGTAGATTTGGAATACTTGCATCCGAACCCATCTGTGATTTATTACAGTATGATAAATACGACTGACAAGTGAAGTAGACTTTTACTTCAAAGGTAGAAGTAACAGGGTTATCATTCTGAGGTTCTCTGTTCCAATGCTAACTCTCTGTCAGTCACACTGAAAAAGATACTAAACCTCCTTGTTCTTGTTAATTTTATGACAGTTTTTCCTTGACTTTCATTAAAACTTGACTTCTCACTGTGGGTGCTTTAAGATATGAATGCTGCCCCTGCAGTGCTCCTCATCACTACAAAATCAATAGCAATTCAGAACCGATTTTAAGGATTATATTCTATAGCTCCATCTGGTGGTGATGAAAAGAAACAAGCTTTCCAAGCTTCTCTTGAGAAAAAATACAACCCATATTCAAGGTTTTTATAATCATAAAATAATAATAATAATAATAATAATAATAATTGCTTACACTTATAAAGCGCTTTTCTGGACACTCCACTCAAAACTTTACAGGTAATGGGGACTCCCCTCCACCAATGTGCAGCCCCACCTGGATGATGCAATGGCAGCCATTCTGCACCAGAACGCTCACCACACATCAGCTATCAGTGGGGAGGAGAGCAGAGTAATGTAGCCAATTCATAGAGGGGGATTATTAGGAGGCCATGATTGGTAAGGGCCAATGGGAAATATGGCCAGGACGCGGGGTTTACACCCCTACTCTTTTCGAGAAACGCCCTGGGATTTTTAATGACCACAGAGAGTCAGGACCTCGGTTTTACATCTCATCCAAAGGACGGGACTGTTTTAAACTGTTTCCACATCCTGTAATGTGAACTTTACCTCGGGACATGATACAATTAAAGTGGTGAGGTTATCTTTGTAATAAACAAGATCAGTAGAGAACCGAGTTCCTCTTTGTTTTGGAGATTTTTGCTGTAGAACCATAATTACAGTTTCACCTTCAATTACCCATCAAGCAAATATTAACCAGGTAATCTGCTTGAGCATAGTATTAAGCAATCTACCTGTAGAAAGTAACTGAACTCACTTCCCCTTTAACTCCTCTTACCTACTGAATACAAAATTACAAAAAGATTGATAACATGCTTGCGGTTATTAACAAGGTGTTCAGTTCCATGTGAAAAGGTGACGCTCAAGTTTTTGCTCGTTTTGCCAGAGCTCAGTCCAAAAGAGGGAGTGTGCTCTGAAAAAGCAACTGACTGGAGTGTTGCAATGAAAAGTCATCAGGGCACCTCCATTAGTAGTGCCACCAACAGCAAGGAGGGAATGGAAGACTGACAGACCTAATTAAATTCATCAGATGCATCAGAGCTGGACAGGTGCATCCCTACATTATATACTAACACAACTGGGTTGCACAGTCACACACAGTATGTGCATCCATAGGGATGTGAGCCTTCTGGATGTTAACAAATGTTGGCTGTTTTCGGATTTCAGTTTTGTCACTGGTGATGGCAGAATGAGTTTACTGGAAACACTGCAAATGGCTTAATAAAATCTACTGTGGGAACAAATGTAGTTTTGTTTAATGTTTCAACACTTAATACATGTTTGGTTAAATGTATTGGATGCTTCATCCTTTGTTAAAGCAGTCTCTTCATTTATCAGCATTACTATGTCTATTCCCAAATGGTAAAGATCACGCAAACCTTATGTTTCCAAGTCGAAGCTGTGTATGCAATGATGCCCTGTTTATTCTTAATGAAATGCTTGTGAGCATAACTGGAAAGGTGCAAAGAGGTCAATGTCAGCTACATACAAATGTGGTTACTGTTCTGATTCTTGCTATACAGACTGAACAGATTAAGATCAGAGGAAGAACACTACTGTTCACTTTGAAATATCTTCCATATTCAGTGAATTACAGTCACTGTAGCACTGAAATTGTGTAAAGCAGCACATTGCTTCTAAACCAAACAGTGTGTGTGGAAATAATGAAAATATTTGACACTCCATAAAAGTCTCACCCAAACGAATCACTTAAGCAGAAAATGCAGAACTTTTTTCAATGTGCACCACCATGATCAAAAGTAAAACACAACCAGGCAATGTTCCATTTTTGTTAAACATGTTGTTCTACTGAGTGCTAATTAAATATTTTCTTAAAAGTTGTGATGCATTAAGTATTGCACATTATGCATGTTTAAATATTCATTTTTTAAATATTAAAGTGTACTAAAATTATGTCCTTTTCCTCCGTGAATAAGGGGGTTTAACTTTACAATGTTTTGGGCACTGTAAAAATACAAATACCGTAAGCAAGCAAGCCTTGCTTACAGAAAATTCTATTTCCCCTACCATCTATTATTTTGCAAACCTATATACTGAAAATAAATATAATAAGGTTTGAAAATACATCAAAAAAGCTAATTAAATACACACTGACCAGTATATAATGCTGTCAGACTCTGGAACAGTATTCAAATACTAAAGGCAGCAGAGGTTTATAGTTCTAGACACTGGAAGGTTGTGTGCTCAAATCCCAGATGGGACATTGTCACGCCCTTGAATAACATACTTCACCTAAACTGCTCCAGTGAAATACCCAGCTGTGTAATATCTGTAAGAAACAGTCAGCCAGATAAATTAATAATACAGTTCTGTGTATCCCCCGTTGCTCTCTGTAACCCCACACCCGCCAAACCTGGTATGTTTCCACAGGCCGGGTCTCCATATTAAGGTCCCAGATCTTGACAGACAAGTAGTCTCGCGTCATCATATAGCGCCCGTTATGGCTGAACTTGACATCCGAGATGGAGGAGATGATTTCGGAGAAGAATGACCGGTTACTGGGATCCTCTGGCTCCTCAAACACTGTAGGATGTAGAGCAGTACAGAGCAGTTAGTCATGCTATTTTTCTTTTCATAATTTACCACTGCACTCCAATTCTCAAAGGTAGTTCTGCTGAATGCTAATAAGAATAACAATTTGAAGTTTATTATACTCAAAGTGCAATTTCTGCAGAACAACCATACGTGGGATTAATTTGAAAAACAAATCTGTCAGTGCCATTTGAAATGTAAGCTAAAATGGATGCTTTAATTTAATTATACAGCAGTCCCCTGGCAGAAGGGCAATATGGTTGGACAAGCAATGTTTAAAATCAAATTAATAATTTTACTCACCAGTGATATTTAAGAATAGGGGGAAATTAAAATAAGTGCAGCAAAACTGCCAAATGTTTGGACTCAAAATGCTAAAGAGATGAATGCTCATTTTTTGTTAAAGAGGAACAAGGTTGAAAAGTTATGAATGCATGACATGAATTGCAGCCAAAAAAAGGAGATTAAGCTGCCTATTTGGAATTCAGCCAGTCTGGGAGCTCCTAAGAGTACTGGCTTATCAGTGAGTCAACAGCTGATCCTGTTTAGATTGATTCCTCCATCTAAAGATGACAACACACAGATGAAGGAATCAAAATCTTTCTAACAGCTATCTGAACACGTCTTAAATATTCAAGTCATGCTTCCAAGTAAATTTGTGTATATCCACGTTTCAACATTTCTAAGCAATTTTGAAACAATGACACCCAGTAAGTGGATACATTCTCAAATAGAAGTCCCAAACCTGACCATCAGGATGCTAGAACAGTGTTACAGTTCTTGAAAACAGTATAGAGATCTAAATGCAAGAAATTGGTTACATTAGAAGTTCTGTAGCTTAACCATGTAACAAAAGCCATAAAATAAAGGGATAATACAGAACCATAAATGTGAAACACTACCCTAGAAAGTTCTGTTTTTCTCAGTTAAACTGAATTAGACACTAATTTCTGTTAAGATAGATCAAATTTGCCTCCTTTTAGAAGTGACAAAAGGGGGCTCTTTAAACAAATTGGTTTAATCAAGCAGTTTGGTTAGGTAATAAAGCTGAGCTGGAACAGAAAACAGACAACAGGATCGACAAAATGAAGGAAGCTTAACAACAACAACAACATCATCAATAACATGAAATTCACAGTTATCCTGAGTAGACGGGGCATTCAGGCTGAAAGAGGAGCCAGTACTGACATTTGGAGTGTCTGTCACAAAGCGCAGCCGCCCTCATGTCACACAGCCGGATGGTCCCCTTGCTACTGCTGTAGACGAAGGTGTTGCACTGGTTTGGGTGAAACTCGGCTGCTGTGATCACCTCCGTTAACTCCTCCATGTTGGCCGGCTTGATGTCCACAATGTCTAGGACAGGAAAGTCAAGGAGACAACCCAACGAACGTTTCCAGACACGCACAAACACACACCTCAAAATCTCAAGATCCCCAATCCAATGGCTTTATCACCCTGCAAGTCACAACCGGCAATCCACTGAAGCTAAGCAGGTGTGAGTGTGACCAATACCTGATAGGAGGCCTCCCGGGAAAGCGAAGGTTGCTGCTAGAAAAGGTGTTAATGGGGCCAGTAGGGGGCACTCGCCCTGTGGTCTGTGTGAGTCCTAATGCCCCAGTATGGTGATGGGGACACTGTACTGTAAACAGGCGCCGTCCTTTGGATGAGACGGAAAACCGAGATACTGACTCTCTGTGGTCATTAAAAATTCCAAGGGTGTTTCTTGAAAAGAGTAGGGGTGTAACCCCGGCGTCCTGGCCAAATGTCCCATTAGCCCTTACCAATCATGGCCTCCTATTAATCCCCATTTATGAATTGGCTTCCTCACTCTGTTCTCTTCCCCACTGATAGCTGATGTATCGTGAGTGTTCTGTTGCACTATGGCTGCCGTCGCATCATCAAGGTGGATGCTGCACATTGGTGGTGGTGAAGGGGAGTCCCCATTACCTGTAAAATGCTTTAAGTGGAGTGTCCAGAAAAGCACTATTTAAGAATAAGGGATTATTATTATACATTAATTCTACGACAAGACAGCATTTTATCTTATCCTAAACTGCATTAGTAATAACTAAGTAAAGCATTTATTCAATCAAAATACCAGAAATGATACGGACTGCAAGAGGTGTAGTTTTCCGCCTCATCCTCATGTCACTGCATGAACAAAAACTGGTGTCTAGTGTTCAAAGACCAGAAGATAAGATCTTCATTAACATTACTGAACTCAACCTGAACAAGAAATCAAACCACATAGGATTTTCTGTTGTTGTGCATCAAAACACCCCAGTTGGAACCATGTTTTTGCAACCCAGAACCAGATCTAAACACATCTGGTATTTCTGGGTGCTATTCAATTCAAGATGGACCAATATCAAAAACAGTATCTAAACAATTTTCCTAACTTGAGTGAACCCAGTGTTTTGCTAATGTGTTAAGAATGACACATCAAGTTCATTTCAAGACATTAAACGCAATTTCACAATTTCTTTGTTGGTGTATAATCATATATTTCATGTAATATACTAATATCAACACTTAAAATTGACAAATACCGCTTACTACAATGAATTGAGTAAGACACCTCTATTCTACAACATAAATCAGGATATAAATACTATTTTTTTTAAATTTTCATTAGAAATCATATTGGTAAATCTAGATGCCATATGAAAAATACATTTAATGCAAATCTTACTTAAACGTCTGACAGTGTGTTTCAGCTAGGTCATTTAAGAAGCATTAGTAAGTTATATTATGCAGAACCTAATAACTGAACTGGAGCATTAGTCGAAAAACCACTATGATTCAAAAACCATATTCACATGAATTACAAAAACTACTGAGTTTTAAAGTAGAGAAAAAAAAGTTTTATGCGGAATCAGCTTTAACACCGAGTTGAGCTGCTGTGGACTGCTCTAAGCATTCTACCGTATAATGCGTGCACTGCAGCAACATACCTTTTTGTACTTTCTTAATTCTAAAATTTTGACAGATGGCCTATGGGCAGCAAAGCAACAAACAGCCCTGGTATGCCAGAATACAAGTGCTTTATGTCCATCTGTAAAAATCATGTTGTTTTTATTACATGATTGCAAGAGTTTTGTGCTCTTGATTTCTTTAGTGTCTTTCTACTTGGGTATTACAATTGCTGTGTTACAATTTTACTAAAAAAAAAAAGATACCGGCCATAAATTGCCACCATCACTTGAATGCAAAGTGTAGTAAGTTCTTCCTATTTTCATTTCATTTATGTTAGAAAATAAAGTGGCAAAAATAAAATATAACCCAAGTCATAAACTGTATCAGTTAAGGAATCAAAGTGTTTATCCCGCATTATATTCAATTTAAGATTTAGGTGTCAGCTGGAGTCAGACTGAAAACGGAGCACAGCAGTCAAGTGGAAGTATAAGAGGACATCTATAAACCTGTAGGAAGATGGCTCAAAACTTTCATATCACTGTTAAGGATGAACTGTGATAAAATAAAGCTTTCGTTGTTTGCTCATTCTCACCAAATTAAATTATTTCAAGGGAAAGACAGAATAGTTGCAAAACTGCTTCAAGCTGCTTTATGTGTTGTGAGAAAAGCTCATTGGACTGTGTCCCAAATGCTCTGTAATGTGAGGGCTCTCAGTGCAAGAGAACTTTGTCAGGGATACTGAAGCTGCGGTCTGTGATCTCCAGGTGCCACAGGTTGATGCGGAGGTCATCGGCGGACAGGTAGGTTTCATAGTCACTGTTGACGGAAATGGAATTGATGTGGTAGGTGTGCGCGTTTGCAAACACTCGCCGAGGGCTGGCTTCAACCATGAGGTCCATTGGCCGAAATACCGGCACCTACCGAGAGAAATAAACAAAACACTCATCGTGGGCAATTGGGTGACTTACTGTCAATCTTGACCGAATTATTGTCACCAGTAGCCTACACCTGGGGAAAATTTTAAATGGTTCCAAAGAAAGATATCATTAGTTCAATTAAATAACAGACCACAGTATTGTCCTTAAGGACTGGAGATGGGCACTTCTGTGCCAGGGGGTTACTGGAACAGATTTTCGAAAGCTGCTGTAGCCATAAGGTCATAATTGATCAATGCTGACTGAGAAGTTTGACGACCCTTCTTAATGAAGAAGGTCTCCCTCTCCTTCTCCTCCAATTTCTCACTCTCCGTACCCTTAGTGTTGTGACCGTAGCAGGATCCCTGTATCGGCCATCCTCCTCCTTCAGGTTATACCCCTCTGGTCTCTTGTCCCGTTCACTGATCTTCCACAGCTTTATAGTCTTATCTGTAAACAAAGGAAGGAAAACTGAGAACTCAGTTTCTTTTCAGTCAACCCAGGAAACATGGAGCCAATCAGACTAAGCACATGTGAATGTCCATTGAGGATCGAGGGCAATTTTATCTTGTAAGGTGTCAATTCATTAGTGTTACATCTGAGATCGGTCAAAGTAAAATTTATTCAGCTGTATTTATATAATATTGTACATGCAATAATGTGTTGTCAAGTGGTTCTAAGGTGCTTCTATATATGCTGAGCACATAAAGCAGGTTCAACTGGAGAGCTGTGTCAATGCACAGGCCTCATAAGCGCAGTGTAGAGGAAAATTTCACACTAGAAAAAAAGAAAAAAGAAAGTTCTGGCTTTCTTCAGGTGTGTAAGGCAGCTCAAGAGCCAAAATGGTAAACAATTTTTACAGAAAAAGCAAAAAATTAAAGGAAAGTATCAGGATTATTTTCATTGACAAAAAATCAAATTATATATCTTATCAAAATGGGATAAACACACAAACCTGCTGTGCATTTCCTACATCCTGTGAAGTAGGTTTCTACGTAGGCTCTCATTTTAATCTATACAAAAGTGATTCCTAGTTTTTAGCACAAAGTATGTGATCAAACATTTGGACATCTGCATTTTAAGCTGCCAAATGTTTGTTTTCAGGACTATTTGCTGATGGACAGATTATTTCTGGAAAGGTTCCCGATTAATAGTACTTAATGCAGTTCCTGAAAGTCCTACTGTGTTAAACCAGATACCTTACAGTATACACTGGGATGCCAAACGGTCTCAAAGATCACCCCTCAACTCACGTCACGGTGATGTGAGTGTGACGTGGGCTGTGACCCAATAACAGTCTTTGTGTGAATGCATCACTACACTGGGACTCCAGGCCAAAAGCAGAATAACACGAAAAAAAGAGGAAGGAGAATGTGCAGCACTACAGAGACTCAACTGCCTTTTTTGACTCATACAGTCGCAGCCTGAGAAAGGGGATGAGAAGGGATTTGGACAGCCATGGAAAACGAACTGAAAACTTTCACAAACCCAGAAAAAGATGAGATACTGCTACTGATTGCCTTTTCTCTCGTGTCCATGGAAAAGTTCTTGATTGCAAAACTGATTAAGTGGTAGACTCAGGAGTGAGATGAGGAAACAATTTTTCACAGCGCCTGGATTGGACACTGAGGGCTTGCTAAGAAAGGCTGGGGTTCAAGCAAAAACAGAATTTCCAAGGACTGCTGGACTAAACAAACAAGATTTGCATGATTAGAGATAACAGAAACAACAGATGTTTATATATAGTAGTCAAATATAATGACTAGAAATCCAAAAATTCAAATAACTGTATAAAAAGACAAAAGAACAATGAAGATGTATCAGTTCAGTCTGGTGGATAACCAACCCAATGAATTTCCAAATTTACTAAAAACTTGAAAACCAATAGATGAAGAGTTCAGACAATTTCCTGCCTTTGCACTCCTACAGTGGATATCAAAAGTAATTATTTGGGATTCTTGCCATTGGCATAAAAATCACTCTATAATAGGAATAATATCATATCAAAGTGAAAATATATAAAAAAGAAGATAACTACAATAGAACTCACCTCCTTTGCTATGACACACCTACATAGGCTCTGGTGCAAACAAATGTCTTTAGAAGTCAAATAAGTTGAATGGAGTCCACGTGTTAATATTAACAACATCATGTTCAACACGCCTATCTCTAGAAGGTGCTACAGTTGATCTGCACAGCTCCCAACAAAAACTTAATTAAGACAAAGGAGCTTTCAAAGCAAATCCAGGATAGGGTTTCTGAAAAGCACCCATCAGAGGAAGGTTCTGAGAAAATGTCCAAGACTGAGCATCCCCTAAAGCACAGTAAAATCAATTATAAAGAAATTGAGAAAATATGGCAAAAGTGTGAATGTGTGCAGAATAGGGTGTCTGCACAAACTTGAGCATCCAGGCAAAAAGGGCACTAGTTAGGGCACCAAGTGGCTTATAACAACTCTCAACGAATGAAAGTGTTCCAATGCACCTGCTTGGGTGTTTCACAAATCTGGCCTTCATGGGATTTTGGCACAACAAAAACCATTATTGAAAAAAACCCATTTCAAATTTCAACTAGTTTACCAGAAGGCCTGAGAGAGACCCGGTGGATAAAAACATCATCATCTCTAACGCCTGTCCCATGAAAACAGCCAGAGCCACACTACAGTGCTACTGGGAGTGACCCAGTCAAAGCTTGGACTCCAAGCCAACCAAGAATCGGTGGCAGGAGTTTTAAATTACCGTTCACCAATGATATCCATCAAGTATGACAGAGTCTGAGCAATCTTACAAAGAAGAATGCGCAACAACTGCAGTGTCCAGATGTCCAAAACTGGTGGAAATGTATTCAAGAAGACTCATGGCTACACTTTCTGCTAAAGATGCCATTGTCTGAAGGGAGGTGAATACAGCTATTTTCTGCTTTTTAATTATAATTAATTTAGGAGGATCTGCAAAAATGTATTCTCACTTGAAGATTATAGATTGTTTTTTTTTGTCAATCAATGGTAAAAAAATACAAATTAAATACATTCCAAATTGTAACAAAGAAGTGAAAATGTCCAAGGGGCGTGAATACTTTTGATAGCCACTGTAATAGAATACTAATAACACTATATAGAAAAATAGATAAATGCAAAATTATACAAGAGTGAAAAAACTTATTTTAGAAGGATCAAGAGAAATGCAGGAACCAAGTATAAGTCTTTAGCACAAACAAGCAATTTTGCCAATAACTCAACTAGTTGCTGCACAGTCAAAATTTGCCAACATTCAAAGACCTGACAAAACCCGACAAAAAAAAAAAAGATACTTCCTTTTCAAGCATCACAATTCCACTACTCTAATCTGCCGAACACTAATCAGATTAGGAACTCAATATAAAAGATTTAGGTATTTGTTTGTTATTAAATGCCATTTCCAATACAAACAAATTATTATTTTCAAATGAGTGCTAGGTGCAATTAAAAAAAAGTTGGTCTTTGACTATACACAGAAAAGAACATCTGCTTCTCCATTACTATTTAGGACATAAATATTTTATATAAAATAGATGTGCTTGCACACAAATCATGGACTATTCCAATCTGTTTCTGTCAAACATCTTTTTTCTAACTTCCTTAAACTTGCAGTCTTTCCTGTCAGACATGGCTAACACCTACTCCTGTGGTCCTGACTAGGCCTCTGAGTCAGCAAACTGTCAAGTTTCTCAGTTGCTGACTACAGTATATCTTTACACTCAGAAAATCATGCTTTATCACAGTAAGTGCATATGTATAGTTGTTTTTGCACAGCAACATCTACTGGAATGATCAAAAGAAATCAAATTAATGAAGTCCATGCTCCTTGCAATGCACATTACTGCACAAAGTAAAAAAAAAAACAGATTTTGCTTGACTGACGGTGACTGAATTTCATCCATCTGTAAAACCAGAGCTTATGCTGTAAGAAAAGGGCACAAGGCTGCACTATGAACATCACTTTTCTCTGCTTATAAGAAAGCCAGTCCATTCCAGGACTGTGGGGAAAGGGGCAACTTCGAGAAAAGCCTGATAAATGCGGCCAGTTCATATTTGAGACAAGATGGAAACAAGAGCACCTGGACAGCAGGGACCATGCAATCTCCACACAGAAGGTGTCCCAACCTGGACCTGAACCCAGGACCCAAACATTGTGAGGTAGCAGCTGTAACTGTTGCACAAATTTTAAAAATTGGTGACATCTGATGTGTGTGAGCCCCAGTAATGCTCATAAGACAGACAGATCTCTCACTGGTGAACTCAACAGTATCATAGATCTCACAATTACCTAAATCATGAAATGGTCTACATAGCTTTCCTGCTTCACAAAGCAGAGAATTCCATAGCTAAGAAGCAACATTTGTGAGAGGAGGGAAAAAAAAAAAAACAATTTCTAATTGTCAATGTTTAATTATGCAGCTGTATTTTGTTCTCTATATAGCAGTAATAAAAAAACCTTAAACATCACAGTCTGGGTGCTTTAAGAACTGTCTGTGATTAATCAATTTGTTCTAGTTCTTCAAGCAACAGCTCTCACCATTTGTGGACAACAGGAACTGTGCTGCATTCTTCTGGGGCAGCCACCTGATCTTATTGATCTTTTCCTCGATCTCCAAGCTCTTCAAGTAGTCAAACTCGGGCTCGTGGCTCTGGAACGTGCTGTAAACATTGTATTCGCCCCTTGACTGGGGCTGGTTTTTGTTCTGTGAAAAAATGAGAGAAAAAGAGTAAGGGCAGTTGTAGTACTAGCTAGACAGAGTGGAAAAAGCAAAACTGAATCCTGCATTTACTGAAAAACATTCATCGTAACTGTGAAAACACATTAAAAGAGCATTACCTTCAATGGTCCAGATGACATCACCTATACACCACAAATCCTCAAATACTTTTACTTTAAAAAACAATGCAGTTCTAGCCTTTACCAAAACCTCAAACATCAGCACATCATAACGGTTTTTCAACTGCATATTCATGTGTCATTTTGGCCTGACCTGATATTAAACTGGCCATATCATACCTTTCTCTAATACATTTTGTGCATTTGACACCAAAAGTAAACCTTTAAGTGCTATCAACTTGATACATTTTAAGCAGACTTTCAAGACTGTGGAAAGCAGGACAACTGACACCTGAAGAAGGCTCCATAAGTGAAAAGTTGTCTTTTCAGCATTGAATAAATCTTTACCTGTTCCTAAGAAATGCTAATGATAATGCAAAAAAAAGGAAAAACAATCCTTTTACTAAAAAAAAAAAGTGCAGGGCTCACAACAAATACAAGAATCAACTGTAATGATTTCATGTAAAATATCTGCCACCTTTGAGTAAGAGCACTGGTTATTTGCAGTAGCATAAACACTGCACCATTCTGACATGAGCACACAACGTCTCCTTCCAAGGTGACCACAGAACAATGTGTCTAGCCTTAAATTCTACCTCCACAGAATCCAGCGGGAGTCAATTAGTTTCCAGACTCACAGATTTGATATCAGAAGCACTTGAAGTGAAAGGAAGATGAGGACGCAGATTAGGACTCAAGTTAACCATAACTTGCCTGCACAACACATGGGAGTGAACGGGTAAAGCTCTAGCCAAGTTGTCTGCAATGCACCAGCAACCCCAGTACCCATCCACCAGGTGGCGCAAATAAGCAATGCCAGGAATGAGCAGCAGTCCCAAGAAGCCAGGAAAGCAGAGCAACTCAGAATTCAAGCTGAGGTCGCAAGCTGAGGGAAAGGATGAAATGGTGAAGGGAGAAAGCACTTCTTCACGCTCGCCTTTGAACAGCTGCTGTGGCCAATACACATAGTGGGGGGGGGGGAAGGAAGGGAACTGAAATATAGCCTACTGCTATGCAAATTTATCATCACATGTTCCAGCTGCAGAGCCCCACCTTTGTGGGGTGGAAGACTGGTGGTCTCCTGGACAGGACATCAGGGCTGTGCAGAAAAAGAGGCTCTGTTCCTTCTAATGGTGTCAATAAAGCCCCTGTATCTTGTTAGTTACGGCTCTTCCTGCCTCAAACAGCACTAACCTTCCAGAAAGAAATGTAATATTAAGAAGCAGCCTTGCCAGATTTCTCTGCTCCCAGAACATTAAGTACTAGAACATTACTGAGTTACTTCAACGCTCCTCTCTCCCTTTCCTTGTCAGTGCATATTAATTGATAAAATCAAAACTTAAGTACAGATTCTCAACTACTGCCCTAACTGTGTGCATGAATCTTTTAACAGAAACACAGGCTTAAAAAACAAAATAACCTCTGCACTCTGGCTAGGGCCATGTCTAAAGCAACTCAACCTCTCCCGTCTCTAACATTAGAGTGCATCTCCTATAAAAAACACCACTGGGAAATGTTATTCTTTAGCATGTTCAAAAATAACTCACTTTAATGCATCTCTGTTTCCATTAACATTCAAGCTGCTGCATGTATTTCACTCATTAAAATAAGTGAGGGATAAATGGAAAAGAAAAACAACAGAAAGGGAAAAAAAAATCAGCGACTGTCAATACGACATATTGTCCACAGGGCCTCTCTCAGCAAAGGTTAATGAAATAATCCTACCGAATGTCAAACCTATCCTTATACTTTTGGTTTTGTGCTGAAAACTTAATTTTTATAAAAGACTCCCCAAATCTGCCCGCCCTCCAAACAACAGAAGTGCCTGTCCAGCATACCTTTACCGTCAATGTCAGAGCAGAAGACTTTACCAGTCCTTTCCGATGTTTCCTGAGTGGCCCTTACACTAGACCTCTCCTTGCAGGACATTCCTGAAGTCCACTGACCTGCATTTCTTAGTAGCACAGCCCTTGTCCATTTTCTTCATTGTCCTTGGTAACAAATTCAGCTCTTTCCTATAAACTTTTATATCCTTGCTGCCCAGCATGCTTTCCAACCCAGGTATTGTAGTCCCTTGGCCAAGACAGTTCCTTGACTACCAGCACTCCAGCACCAGTCACCTCTGCCTTTTCGCCCTTCCACACACTAAGCACCCTGCCCTCCTGTGCCTTCAGCTCCCGTTAAGTGTTGTGGTTTGCAGGTCTGGGGAACCAGCTGTATTCCAGTCACTTCTCCTCAGAGACTGGTGGAGCTCCTGCAGAGCTGGGGTTGGCAGTGGCTTCTTCACTCTCAGTCTCCTCTCTCAGCTCAGGACATTTCTTCCCTAGGTGCGTCTCTCTCCCAGTGCTGAAACCCTGCATTGCGCGATTGGAATCCTGAATTTTCCCTCTTTAAAATTTCACTTCACTTAACAACCAGCTTAGTTACTGACACAATAAGTCAATATATGGCCAGCTACTACTGCAAAACTAATTTTTCAGTGGCAGTATTGGTGTATGTGTACCTCTGAGGTCTATGCTGCGTTACACTAAATGTTAACAAGAACAGTAGTGGAAAGACACGTGTTCACTTTGGAGACTGACTGGCTCTTTTCATGTCCCCTCCTCTATGGAGTAGGATTAATGGCTCCAGTGTTTTGACATCACACCTTTGGTCAGCCTCTCAATCCCCACGTTAAGGTTAAGCCAAGGAGCCTGACCAGCCAGTTTCTGCAGCTCTTTTCTCATAAATGTGTACTGTTTTACCGCTAAAGGAAAACTGAAAAGTAACAAAGACAGGATAGATACCTCTTAAATCACATACGCACTCTCTTCAAGTCCCACCTACACAATCCACACATACATTCAAGAGAGACTGGAGTCTAGAGCTAACCACACAGGATAGGCGATAGAGACAGATGGTATAATCATCCACAAGCGAGAGAAAGAAAGATGGTCTGGAATGAACAATGCAGGAAAGGAGAGAAAGAGAAAGTCTACAGCTAAACACAAAGGACAGGTGAAAGAGTGAAAAGTAATCTCGAGCAGGAGTCTGCAACTCATTCCTGGAGAGCTGCAGTGCCTTCTGAATTTCTTTCCAGCTAATCTCTTAATGACTCAATGGGATCAATTAGCTCTTAAAGTATGAAGAATTAACATGTTTCTCTCAAGTCTGTCCATAAAAACCACAGGACTGCATCTCTCCAGGATGAGGGGTGCAGACCTTTAGTCTATAGCAAACCACACAGAGAAGGAGGTGATAGAGGAAGTGATATAGAGATATCTAGGTAAAGATAAGAGATGGAGCACACAATGAATTGGAAAACTTTTGAAATTGCTGCTGGGGTGTGGAAGACCCTTTTCAGTAGCAACTCTCTGTACCCAAAAAGGCAAAAGAAACACAAAGGTTTCTAATCAAGAAATAAGAGTGGATCTGACTGCCTCGTGTTAAAAGATCTTAGAGGACCTTCAAATCAAAGGCAGAACTGGATGTGAATTTTGACCAAATACAGAAAATGAAGCAATTAAAAAGCATGACCCATGAGCTTTAAAATCTGAGGACAGGCCATTGCTGAAGTACTGTAATTATTTACTTACAGTGCCAAGGGAACAGCTTGGCGTAAATAAGAGTGCTTTGGTATTCTAAATCAGACAAAATTTAAGAGTATGAAAGGTGGAGTTGATCTCTGACCTCTTGCTCCTGCTGAAAGATGACCACGCGGCCACCCTTATCCCCCGTAGCCAGAAGCTCTCCCGAGTGATTGAACTCCACAGTGGAGATAATATCAGCTGCAAGACACAAACATAGGATTTTTGTTAGGAGGTATTACAATGTGTACCACACAGAGCCCTGTCGTACTGAAAAAAGACACTTATCCCACCTAACATAGTAGAACTGCTCAGGTTTCCCACAACACTTCTGCACTCCTTAGCATGAACACCAGCCAACCATCTGTGCCAGAAACAACTATAGCGCATACCACAGGACTTGCTTCTGCTCTCTTTTTGACATACCAAATTGCTAGGTTCAGGAATGGAAGGAAACTGAACTGTTCATGCTTGTTGCCTTGTTTACATAGGTAGAAAGGGAGTTAACAAATGTGTTACATAAATGTACTTGCTTTTCTGCTTCATTGGTCCAATCAGTATGGCAGATGGCAGCAATGGATGTTTCTATCCCTGTTCTGATTAAGGCGGAGAATGTACAGTGGGGTGCATTGCATGTCACAACAGACTACAGTCCAGTCCAGAAGCTCTACTTGTAACTCCCAGTTACTTCCTTATTCAAGTGCAGTTCCAAAGATATTTTTTCCTGTTCTTTTGGCTAAACTACCCAAGAGTCCAAACAAACTAAAACGGTGTCTTTAAACATCTCCAAAAACGGGACACCCCATCCCTTTTTTAATTTGTGTCCGTCTGGTTTTCTGTGGCATCACCATAGGTCCTCCGGCAATTAAATCAACAGCTGACAAGGGGACTTACTGTATTATCATCATGAGCAAATGCATGCAGAAATAGGCACCAAAAAACAGAATAAACCAGACAGCCAACATCAAATAATAAATCAATTGGTAGAGAGCACATATAAGTAGTTTAACAAAGACTTAAAGCTGACTGGAAATTCTCAAATATTACAAATACAAAGTATAGGAGACAAGCTCGATTGTATGAATTATCTTCCTATAAACCATTCCAATTACAAAAAATCCTGTTACATTTAATACAAGACACTATTATACTGTAAAACACTGCACAACTGCATCTGCTCTCAGATTAGAAATTCACTTCTCCAGAATTAACCTAACACACTGCATGCTGCAAAACACTAGGAGGCAACAATGACACGTTTAAACTCAAACAGGACGGTACATTACAACCAGGTCTAGCTGAAACTGTCCACTGGGCTGAAACTCATTTTGCAGCAGGCAATCTCAGACCGACGAGCGTTTCTTTAAAAGAAGTAGTTTCCAACTAAATAGACTAATAGCTATTAGAACCACTTAAATACTAAGAAAGTGAGGTTTCCCAATAAGGTGTTCCACACAGGTCATGGGTCATTTATACCGGACCAGTTAAACGAGAAAGAAAATTAAACACTGAGTCATATAAGGGATTCTCACACACTACAATAGAAGCCCATTTTTTCTAAATATAGCAGGGTCAAGACATCTGCAAACTTAACATTTGCGAATTTGCTTATTCGGGATTCAGTCTGCCAGAGGAGGTCTTGGATGGAAGAAAAGCAGAGAAACAGAGCCAAAAGGTGTTAAAAGCAACAGACTAGGATTGTGAGACGAGTATAGTTAGTAAATGAGCCTCCCCCTGCCCAGGTACCCACTACCCAGCCTCCACATTTCAACATGGTCTTGTGTATATTTTGTAATAAACACACCTGGGGTACAGGACATGGGAGACGACTTTACAGGCTCACCAGCAGTTTTATTACCCTTTAGATTACAGAAGGACATGTTAATCAAGGAGCAGAAAAATAGCTGGAAAGGCAGAGTAAGAAAGTGCTGGAATCTGTTGGAAGCAGAGGAAGAATTCATGTTGTTTATTGTAGCTGATTACTATAGGTTTGTGATTACTGTTGTTTGTTGTATTTGATCAATTAGATTTTAATTAACCTAAAGTCAATGCATTAGTACTTTATCACACAAGAGAGAGTTACCTATGTCTTTTAACAATAGATAATACATTACACGGAAGGACAGGAGTGAACAGGACATACTAATTTGGCTATTCACAATGTCAACTTCTCTAAACTCCTTCAAATCCAGACTCAAAACCTTCTGTGCTGGAAGAGGTGTTAGTGGGGCCGGCAGGGGGTGCTCACCCTGTGGTCCATGTGGGTCCTAATGCCCCAGTATAGTGACAGGGACACTATACTGTAAACAGGCGCCGTCCTTTGGATGAGACATAAAACCAAGGTCCTGACTGTGTGGACATTAAAAATCCCAGGGCGTTTCTCGAAAAGAGTAGGGGTGTTTCTTACCAATCATGGCCTCCTAACAATCCCCATCTATGAATTGGTGGTGGTGGAGGGGAGTCCCCATTACCTGTAAAGTGCTTTGAGTGGAGTGTCCAGAAAAGCGCTATATAAGCGTAAGCAATTATTATTATTTAACTGGTTCCATTCTTTACCCCTCTACTTCCACTATACTTAGTACCACCATCCACGGTCTCCTCTATGTATTGTAATTGTGTCTTATCTTGTGGATTCTTTATTTATAATTGTTGTCATTCTGTAAGATGCTTTGAGAAGCCACCTATACAAAATTAAGTTTATTATTATTATTATTCTCTGCACTGAACGCTCTGAATGTCAAGACTCTACTGTAATCTGACAAAATTCAAACCAAAATGTTTGTGATGTGCTTCCTGTGGATGTCCCCTACTGGTCCATCCACACTATTTCAAGTACTGCAGCAAATCTACTTTTTTGCTGGGATTATTCTCCAAGCCTAATACTGTCCAGGTCCATCCTTGACTCTAAAATCTGACCAGATTTGGCTCCAAGGGAAACGTCAGATAACTTCATTTAGCAGCCCACAGAACTGACACATGGTCCGATATATATCACAGTGAAGTCCACTTAAAGAATAACCAATATAAGAATCAACCATATATAGTGATCCAAAGCCATGGGACAAAACTATTCCAATACCAATTCGGTTTTAATTAATCACATATAAAAACCAAACACACTAATAAGATTTTTTTGGTGCAAACTCACTTTGAAATATAATACAAAAATGAGTGCAATGAGATATACTAAGCCAACAGAACTATTCTGATTAAATATCCACTCTAGTGTTATAACGCTTCTCATTTATAACACACAGTGTAATCCTTGCTTAGAAAAAAAATGTGCTGATTATGTGCAAAAAGGAAACAATTCTTCTGGAAACATGAAACAAGAGACGTGGTTTAGAAATCGGGCATTCCACAGCCTCCGTCAGATTTGTAAAGACAGGGAAAGCACCATGAAAAAAAGAATGGACAAGAATGTAGCTAAGCGAGGCACGTAAGGTTGAGAGGGACACAAGATCAGGAAGCCCGAAAAAGACAGGCTTCCCCTAGGTGGAGCGTTCGTGAAACAAATCTAAAGACTCCAATAACTTCTACTGTGGCTCTGGCTGGTTTGACCTTTTTAAGAAACAAGGGAATACTTTTAACAAAATACACAGAGAAGCCGAACATGCACAAGTTAACTTAATAGAAAATGAATGGATCGAAATGAGACGTGCTGAAGAAGACATCTGGAATGCACATGAGAGTGAAATTAACTTTCAAGGCCTGCTGGGTAGCACTCTTACTTTTAAATCTGAGAACAGGGCAAGTTCAAAGAAAGAATTGCTGTTCTGTTATTCTGTGCAGTGATTGGTAAAGAACACTTTATACTTGGGGAAAAAAAAATCAGGACCCAGTGTATTTTAAACATGTGAGATTTTTTTTCACGATGCTGCCAATGTGCCTGTCTGTACAGTATAAGTCTCAAATAAAAGCACATCGTAATTCAGACATAGCCTTGCTATGACCTGAAATAATATAGTTGTGGAAAATGTGACATTTCACAAGTGGAAAAAAAACGTTGTTTAAAACAACAACACCCATTTAAGTCTGCTTTTAAGATTCACCCACTTATACCCTTGAGGAAAGAAGTAGGTGTTGTCAAGGTGGGATAGCCTAGTTACTTAAGGCTGCTAGTTCCTAAGAAAATGATTATTAACGGAAAAATAGGATGCTTAGCAAATGGTGGTTGGCCATTTTAATAACCAAAGTCTCTATCTCATACACTACCTGAGAGAAACACTCTAAAGACAAGCAAAATACAGCTTGCAAGGGTGTTATGTAATAGATCACATAATAAAACTCCCTGGCTATGTCTGTAATGCGTCATGATGCCAGAATTATTAAAATCTGATCCTTAAAGCAGCAGCTTGCATCAACTGCATTTTTTTCCCCCTGCTTGCACCTTGTCATATCGCACTTGTTCAAATTTCTTATTCTTCAGCAAAATATAGATTTTGAGAGACTGTAACAGAACAAGAAAACCCCAAAAGGTCATCCTTAGGAATCTTGACAGACCTATGGCCTTCAGTATTATCAATAGTGTGGCACTTTTTAGATTGGCAAAATCAAAACCTTCTATACTCCCTTATCATCCACTATAACAAAATCCTTTTTTTTCTTTAGAACCTGTGAGTCAGGAAGGCTGTAGATCAGTGAATCACCCACCCTGCTCCCAAACATCATCATAAATCAGAAAATGCAATACTGGACTGGAAAGAACACCCTTTATATCTCGCTCATCTTTTCAACTTGATAGCCATGCTATTATTATAATGCGGCAAATCAACACTTCTTTCTATTATTCAATCAATTCCTGGAAAAAGGGTGGAAATCAGATTCAGGAGGCAGACGAGTTTGATGCATTGAGATTCTATATTGAGTCAAAGACTCTTCAACAAATGGTGCCGATGAAACAGAAACGCATCAGTATTACATCTGGTCTGCCTGTGCAGAAAACCAACATAAAGAAGCCCTACAGAAGACCCAAAGACAACGCAGCTTATTAATTACGGTTATTACTTTGAATTTATAAGCACTGAAACATTCTGGAAGAACTCCCTGTTGTGCCGAGTTTGGCCAGTGTGACTGGTAAAGAAAATAGCTCTTTTCTATGGTACAAGACATGCTCTGAGAATATAGTCAGGAAGACAAACGCAAGGCGTGGATTTATGCTGAATGGGAATGGATGCCAATCAAAGCCAAAAGTTGCACAA